GCAAGACACTCCTTACTTTAACTCTCACAACAACCCCTTGTAAAGACAAGCATGTAGCTTAGTGGTTAAACGCACAGACTCTGGAGCCAGGCTGTCTGGCTCCCCACTTATTAGCTGTGTCCTTGGACAAATTAAGTTCTCTATGCTTATTTCCTCGTCTGTAAAATGGGGATAATATTAACACCTACCCCATAGGTTCTTATAAGGAATAAATTCTTAAAATGGTAGCTGATGGCATAGTAAGTGCTATATAAATATTAGCTATTATTATTCCCTTTTTCCTGATGATAAAACTAATGTTAAACAAATAAATATAACTTCCTTTCCCTTCTCCCCTTATGTCTTAGCTCCTTACTTAAGATGTTGTCCTCCTCAGCAGCACTGGAATTTAAATAGGGGACTCCTGAAGAGCCTAAAGAAGTCAGTTCCTAAACGTAGCAATGAGGAAGATGAAAAATCTCCATTTAAAACTCCAGGGTGCATTGCAGCACTGTTCACAATTGCCAAAAGATGGAAATAACCTAAATATCCATCAGCAGACGAATGGATAAACAAAATGTGGTCCACACATACAATGGAATATTACTCTGCCATAAAGAGAAGTAAACTCCTGATACATACTACAACATGGATGAACCCTAAGAACACTATGCTGAGTAAAATAAGTCCATGACAAAAGGACAATTACTGTTTGATCCCACTTATATGAAATAGGCAAATGCAGAGAGTCTGCAGTGCGATGGATCGCTTTTATGTGGCCTTTCTCGCCATGGTCTTGTAATTCCCACCCAACTAATTGGGCGGCAGTATACAAATAAGGTAATTGTGGCCCACCAAGGGGAATAGATAGCTTGCTAATAATGCAAATAAAGTTCATGGCAACCCTGTGCAGGTGGGACCATGCAAATAAGGTCTATGGAACCCTAACAAAGGGGATGGTCAGTTTAGCTATCCCATTAGCCTTAAGATGAGCCATCCCAGAGGCAGGAGGAGAGGCTCTCACCACCAGCAAGACAGAAGAGCCAGGAGTGGAGCACATCCTTCGGACCCGGGATCCCTGTGCTGAGAAGCTCCTCGAATCAGGAGACCAACAGAAAGAGAGAGAGAGAGAGAGAGCGTTGTAACACGGAAGATGGCAAGAAGTGGCAGCAGAGAACTAGTGGCAGGAAAGGCAGGATGTGGCACAGTGGGCTTCCCAGGCCTACAGAGCAAGAAAGCTGAGTGCCTTCAAGCAGGAGGCTTGCTGGCAGAGTAGGGTGCTTCGTTTGTGACCCAAGGAGCTAGAGGTGAGAGCCTTCGGACAGGGGCTGACTGGCAGAGTGGGGTGCCTTGGGGCACTTATCAGCAGAGCTAAAAGCTTTGTAACACTTACCCAAGCAGGGCAGAAGCCAAGAGGCCAAAAGAAATTTATAACACTTGCCAGAGCACAGCAGTTGTTGAGGAGCCAGAGAGAGGCAGGCACAGCTGAGAAGAGACTGCCCTGATCGAAGAACTGTATCCTGAGCGTTTCTGAACCTGAACTGTAACCTGTTACTTCTCTAATAAATCCCGTAATCATGAGCATTGTCTGTGAATTCTGTGTGGCCACTGCAATGAATTATGGAACTCAGCAGAGAAGCAGAGAGTGCTGTGGGAGGGACAGCTGGTATGAGAACTGATAAAAAGGTTAGAAGGTGGAGGCATGTCTGACTTCCACCTCATAGGAATCAGCCTTGGGCTGTTGATCTTGATTCTCCTTCCTCCTTGTGAAATTAGAGGAGGTCAGATGCCGACCCATGCCATTTTTACAGAGACTAAAGCTTACTAGTGGTTACCAAGGGTGCGAGGCAGGAGAGAGGGGAAGTCTTGGCTCAGGGGGCACTGAGTTTCTGTTAATGGTGCTGATTGCTGCACAGGATAGAACGTAATCAGTTTCACTGAACTGTACATGTAAAAAATGTTCAATTGGTAAATGTTCTCTTATACAGTAAAATCTGTGAAAGCCAGAACCTGCATAAGGCGGAAACCTGTCAGAGAAGGAAAACGCAAATGTTTTCCACTAAAACGAACAACAGAAGTGGTAAGACTGAACCCTGTCAAAGGTGGAAAACTTGCAAGACCTGAAAAACAAGGTCATCTTATTACGTTCCAGCTCTCACAGGTTTCACTGTAAAACAATTAAAAAATAAAAAAAGTCCAGGGTGGATGTGGTTCCAGAAAAAAGCACCCTGCAAAGCACTCCTATTACTATTGGAACAGTGAAGACCCTAAAGGCTCTGAAATTCAACCTGCCCAAAACAGGATGAATAGGGGCTGTGAAAATCAACAATCAAGATTTGTGCAAGAAGCCACATTTCCAGCAATATTAAAAAATATGATCTGCCCATAGGAGCTGGAGGATGATGATCATTTTCATGATTAGGCTAATAAATCCACGGCTTACTAGAGGCTCTATTCTTTCCTGACTTTCCTACTATTACTGTGAAAATAAAATTCATAAAGATGATGGTTTTCAAGTGACACGATACTCATGAGATTATCAGGCTGCCCACCACAACCCACAATTGCAATGCTATGTATCTTTTATGCAGTAGGATTGACTGGCATATCTGCCACATCAACAGCAAATGGACTCTTTTCATACCCGTAAAGCTCACCATGATTCTGCAGTTTCCTCTAACTCATATTTTAGTATTCCTGGGTGTTCTACTGGATTTAGTAATTCTATGAAGTATTAAAGAAACTAATTTCCAAACCCTCTTTTAAAAACATCAGTTTACGCAGCCTGGTACTGGTACTATGACAGATACATTGACCAATGGAACAGAATTGAGAATCCAGATGAAAATCCATCCACCTACGGTCACCTGATCTTCTACAAGGGCCCAAAGTCCATCAAATGGGGAAAAGACAGTCTTTTTAACAAATGGTGCTGGCAAAACTGGATATCCAACTGCAAAAAAATGAAACAGGACCCATACCTCACACCATATACAAAAACCAATTCAAAATAGATAAAAGACCTCAATATAAAGCCAAAAACTATAAAGTTCATAGAAGAAAAAATAGCACCAATGCTACAGGCCTTAATACACGGCATTAACAGGATACAAACCATAACCATCAACACCCCCCCAAAAGATAAGCTAGATAACTGGAATCTTCTAAAAATCAAACACCTATGCTCTTCAAAAGACTTCACCAAAAGAGTAAAAAAGAGAACCTACAGACTGGGAAAAAATTTTTGGACAGTACA